TTTTTTTGTTTTAGTATTTTGAAGTTGACCAATTGTTACTATAAGCAATTAATGATTATAGATGATCTGCACCGTAGCATTCAAGAGGAATTTCCGTTTTTTTTTCAGACCCTATATGGAAACGCCATGCTTGACTACATTTTGTTGCAATTGTTTATAACAAAATGTAGTATACTTTTGTCCAGCATGGCGTGCCATATTCTTATTAACAATATTAATATTAATGTTCCATTAAAGATGTAGATCATCAACAATTTGGATGTTAGGATTGAAATAAACGAATTTTAGAGCAACTTTGTTATTAATAAAAGTCAAAATCTAATTCCCGCTCAGGAAAAGATATTTTCTGCTCAGAAAAGGACAAAAACAGCGAAACATTTGTGTAAATTTTGAGATGGTATTATATAGTCTGTGCAACGTCATTTTTATAAGTGGTACTTTTTGGATTTTACAATACTCTTCACGTATAAATTGTCAATTTTTCTTTTGTATTAGATGCGTGTAACACCGATCTATCCATAAAAGGATCTCAACTAATGCAAGTTTGCATTTACCAACCCCAAACTCTTTAGGAATGTGATGAAATTTTGAATTGCATATGTGCGACTTTCCATGTATATATATAAATCAATCACATCAGAGAATGATAAATTTTTTTTTTAAAAAAAAAAAAAAATCTAATTCTTAATTCTAATTTTAATTATTTTAATTATAATGAGCGAGGAAAATACTTTTCTTTTTACTTCAGAATCTGTCGGTGAAGGTCATCCTGGTTAGTTAAATTTATTAAAATTTATTGAATTTCATAATAACCAGTTAATATACAGTATATAAACTTACAATATATAATTGTTTAAAAATTAAGATAAAATATGCGACCAAGTATCCGATGCAATCCTAGATGCTTGCTTAAAAGTTGACCCTTTTTCCAAAGTTGCTTGCGAGACAGCAACAAAAACTGGGCTTGTTTTTGTATTTGGTGAAATTAGTACTTCTGCCTCTCTTGACTATCAACGAATAATACGTGATACTATTAAACGTATAGGTTATGATGATTCTTCAAAAGGTTTCGATTATAAAACTTGTAATATTTTGGTGGCAATTGAACAACAATCACCTGATATTGCTCAAGGCCTTGTCCGACAAGGTCAAAATCTCGAAGATATCGGTGCTGGTGATCAAGGTAACTATCTAATACATCCAATATTTGAGAAAAGAAAATTATCACATACAAATAGGATTTCATTTTCATTTTAATTAATACATAAATAAATAAATAAAATTTATTATCTTTATTTTTTTTTTTCAAGGCATTATGTTTGGATACGCAACTGATGAAACTCCCGAATTAATGCCACTCACAATTACACTTGCACATAAATTGAATAAAAGAATGTCTGATCTTCGTAGAAATGGCAATTCTTGGTAAAAATATCTTTTTCTGGCACTCACACACTCTAATACTCTAATCTTCACACTTGCACTGACACATTCTCTTTGCACTCGCACCATTTTACATCCATATATAATATTTATATAGGATTAGACCAGATTCTAAAACACAAGTTACTGTACGTTATAAAAATGACAATGGAGCTTTAATCCCCCTTGAAGTTGATACAATTGTTATCTCTATACAACATTCACCTGACATTACTTTAGAAGATTTGCAACAACAATTAAATGAACATGTTATCAAACCCGTTATACCTGCAAAATATCTTACCGAAAAAACTGTTTATCATTTACAGCCATCTGGAAAATTCATTATTGGTGGTCCTCAAGGTGATGCTGGATTAACGGGACGTAAAATCATTGTTGATACGGTAAATAATAATGATTGGTGGAATTAATTTCATTTCGTTAAATAATTAAATCGTTAAATAATTAAATCATTATCTAACAAATATATATATTATTTGTATCAGTATGGGGGACATGGTGCACATGGCGGTGGTGCATTTTCTGGAAAAGATTGGTCTAAAGTAGATCGTTCTGCTGCATATACAGGTTAAATTAGTAAATAATAATCTTTTACTGAAAAAAATAGTATATTAAACTTTTTATTATCTATCAGCTCGATGGATTGCCAAATCTATTGTAAATGCTAAACTTGCACGTCGTGCCCTTGTGCAACTTTCTTACGCAATTGGAGTTGCAGAGCCACTTTCAATCTTTGTTGATACCTATGGAACATCAACTAAAACTGACAAGGAACTGTTGGACATCATTAAAAAGAATTTCGATTTAAGACCAGGTGTTATTGTGCAAGAATTGGGTCTCCATAAACCAAATGGTTGGTCTTATGAACAAACTGCTTCATATGGACATTTTGGTCGTGATGAGGTAATTAATCATCGTCATCATCTTTTTTTCTGAGGAAGTTTAAGTATCTTTATTTGTGGATGATTATAATAATAATATTATTATTATTATTTTTTATTTTAATACATAGTTCCCATGGGAAAAACCAAAGGAATTGAAATTATAAATAATTAAAATTATTTTTTATTGTTATCATTAAACAATAATGCAAGCAAATAATATATTAATATTTTCTTCTTTTTAACATTAAAAGTAATTTTATTTAATTAATTAAATTTTATTTATTAATTTATTAATTTATTTATTATATTGAATGAGTATATGCAGTGAGGATGTAATAAATCAAAATATAATACTGTACATTGTTGGTTGGATAGATCAATACCTCATTTCAAATATATTTATTTATTAAACCATTTCTTTTTGAAAACTAAAAAATGGTTTATTTTAAATTAATATTAACCTGAACTTCTAACCTTAGAAATATATTGCTACCAGGCCCCATTTGAGAGTTGATCAAGTCATGTCATGTTACATTTATCCAGGGCTGCCATTGGGCATGGTGAACATTTTTCAATGTCCAACAGTTGTCAATTGAATACAACATTGGATGCTGTTCAATACGTCCATGAGATGTATTGGACGATGTCCAACATTGATTGTCCTCCTAAGAATAAAAAAAAGATACCATAAAGGTAAATTCATGTAAAGCACGTGTCAAAATTTGTTTCGCATAATAAATATTTAAATATTATGAGTGAATGTATTTATCCTTCTGACTTAACTCATAAACAAATTAATAATGGTTATAATAATTCTCCGCAACCCATCAAAATTCTAACGAAAACACATTAGATAATTCTACAAATTATTATTATAAACAAAATCATTTTTCAAATAACAATGATAATAATAACTTTAAATTGTTAAATGATTCCTCTTTCTTTTTTTTTTTTTGTGAAAATATTAATAAACGAATTGATCAAATGGAAAAAAGTAGAAATCATCAAAGGATTTTCACAAATAACAATTTACCATGAAACAATTAAACCCTTAATGGAAATATCTCGAACTTTTATTAAGAAAAGTGAGAATGGTTACTAAAAGCTAAAATTAATTGTTATGATGAATTGCTATAGAAATATTGTTATCTAAACTCATGATCTTTGTGATTGTTCCTATTGCCAATGTCTTGTTTACTATTTTTTTAACAGAAAATTTCATTAAGCAAAGTGAGTATCTAAACAGTTCCTTTGCACAAGTTATGTATATATGTGATATCAACTTAAAATCGTGATTTTTGACATTGACCCTCTTTCTATTGTCCATTCTCAATTAATTTTTAACCAAAATTAATCATTATCATCATTTTTTTTTAACAAAAATAAATTCATTTAATATTTCTTTAAAAGTATATATTAAATTGAAGAAAGGATGGCCATTTAAATCTCCCTTTAATACTTTTTTAAAAAAATCATTTATTTACTATTACTATATATAGTGCAAGTCACTTTGGTCGCTGAACTTTTTGTGCTACACCGTCATATTTTGTGGAAATTTCATTCATATTTATATGTAATGCTGTTTTTGTTTTCAACCAATAAAATTGCGTGTTAGCTTTCTCACTTCCACCAT